AGCGAAACAATCTATGTTATCAATAAGAAATTGAATAAGCTTTTTCCTGAGTTCGGGGGTTAATACCGTTCCCAGGTATACCTTTCGCTCGGGTAGGCACTCGATCAATATAACCTATTCCAGCTCTTCGAACGTTGATTTGGTGGCGTCAGAATCTTCGGGAACAATAAAAGTGTGAGGGATCAGAAAATCCTCTTCTTCTTCTTCTTCTATCTCCTGCTTCCCTGATTCGGTCGAGGCTGGTGGCTGTGATTGCTATTTGACTTCCTGTTTACTTTTGATGCTCGACCTTTCCGAGGTTGATAGTATCTATATCGGCATTACCTCATCGACCGAAAATATTTCCTTTGCAGCATGCTGCTCCCCGTATAGTATTTTTATACCGGTCATCGTCGGGAATTTCATCATTTGGTGGAGAGTCGAAGGGACTGCCCTCATATTGTGGATCCAAGGCCTTCTGAGTAGGGCATTGTACCTCATGTCGCCCGATTATGTGGAACTTGGTATCTTGAATGGTTCCAGCCACGTTAACCGGTAAAATAACCTCTCATTTAGTTGTTTCACTGGCCATATTTAAGCCGTTTAAGACCCGAGCCGCGGGCACGATTTGATTTTGCAGGCCGAGCTGCTCCACGACCTCGATCAGATGATATTCGCTGAGCTACCTGGATCCATTAAAACACACTTAACTTGAACTTTATTTAATAAGATAGAAATTACCAGAGCGTCGTTGTGGGGCTGAGAGAGGCCTTCTGCTTCTTCGTCATTGAATGATAAAGTGCCTTCGGGCACATAATCTCGGGTTCGTTTTTCCCTAGTGATTGATACCTTAATGCGTTTGAATATGGGTCCATGTGGAATGTCGAGCCCACCGACAATCATATGAATGACATGTTGGGGTTCCTCCTGTTCATTTTTCCTATTGGCGTCCCTTTCTCTGAAATGATTCTTGGCTCGATTGCTGAGGAACTCTCGAAGGTGGCCTTCATTGAATTGACGGGCTACCTCCTCCCTTAATTGTCTGCAATCCTTGGTCTTGTGACCGTGCGTGCCATGATACTTGCACATCAAATTTGGGTTTCTTGGTGAATGATCAGTTTGTATGGGTCCAGGCCACCTAGTATTTTTTATCCTTCCGATTGCCGATGCAATACCCAATGCATCGATGCTAAAGTTATATTCCGACAACCGGGGTGCCTCTGTGAGATCGGCATACTTGTCAAAGCCACTTTTTCTCATAATTCCCCGAGAATTCTGTCCTCGATCACTTCTCCGATCGCTCCGGGCAGAATTGTGTCTTGAACCATTATTCCTTCGATCTGTGGTATATGGTTGATATCGGTATCTGTTCGATCTTGACTCCCTGTCAACGTCCCTCTGGTTTTTAACTGCCGACCTGTTTGGATGTACTGAACTGGAAGGGGCTCCTAATTGGTCGTCCTCGACCCTGATCTTCGATTGATATCGATTGTGCACATCTTTCCAAGTTACAGCTGGATACTCGATCAGATTTTGTTTCAACTGACGTGATGCTATCAACTCCGCTCGTTTAACCTTTGGGTGAAAGCTTGAACGGCCCAATCATCTGTGACCGGTGGCAACTCCATGCGTTCCATTTGAAATCGGGACACGAACTCCCTCAACATTTCATTATCCCTTTGTCTTACCTTGAAGAGGTCTGATTTCCTTTTTGCGACCTTTATGGCCCCGGCGTGTGCCTTTACGAAAGAATCTGCTAATATGGCAAATGAGTTGATGGAATTTGGTGGCAAGTTGTGATACCAAATCATTGCTCCCTTCGAAAGGGTCTCTCCAAATTTTTTCAATAGCACTGATTCGATTTCATCATCTTCTAAATCGTTACCCTTGATGGCGCATGTATATGAAGTAACATACTAGTTGGGATCAGTGGTCCCATTATATTTTGGGTATTTCTGGCATACGAAACTTCTTTGGAATAGGCTTCGGAGCCGCACTTGGAGGAAACGACTTTTGTACAAACTTCTTCGAATCCATTCCTTTCAAGATTGGCGGTGCCCCCGGTATCTGATCAACTCGAGAGTTGCATGTCTCCACTTTTTTATCGTTGGCTTCGATTCTCTTCTCCCCTGATTCAATTCTTTTGGCAAGCTCCTCGAGCATTTTCATTACCACAGGGTCAGTCCCCCATTCGTTACCATTCAGCCTTTCCGTTACTGGCTCGGTACGACAATTTGTTTGCGGCTCAACCCTATTCGGAGCTCTATGTTGATTTTGTAACTGAGCAATAGCGGCTTGCTTAGCCTCAAGCATCTCAAATATCACTTGGAGATTGACTCCTTCGTCTCCTCTGCCATGTTTTCCTTGGCCACTAGATCGGCCTTCTCTGCGTACACTCCCATCGATATTTGCACCTAGGTCCGCATTTAGAGCAACGTGCGAACTGACATCGACTGGGTTGGCAACCGGTGCTCCCTCGAGATTAGCCTGTGGCACCTCGACTCCTGGAGCAATCACATTTTCGTTATCACCGTGGAATCCGAGGCCATTATCACAGTGAGTGGATGCGTTTTGTGAGTTTGACATGTTTTAACGTGAAAGCAAAGATACTTGACAAGAACAAGCGTAAAATAATATATTTTACCAGAACCCGTACTGAACAATCACTATTATCCTTAGCCCCACGGTGGGCGTCAAACTATTTACCTTAAAAATTGAGTAACAATTAAACTTATATTGTGGTTTTAAGGATCTGTGATTTAAACCAGCACTAATTGATAAACAACAAATTAAATAGATAACTTGGACAATAAAATAAATCAAACCGGTCCGCAAATAATACCTCGACCTCGATTCGAGATAGTCTTGAGGTTAGTTAATAAGAACAATGGAGGATGGAACAAACGGCGATGAACAGTAACCAAAGCAAAGAAAGCAACGTATATGTATATTCTTCTCAGTGAATCCTATTTACAAATTATTGGACCTCCTCTTTATATAGTAGAGGAGACCTAATTATGGTATGCCTCTCATTACAGAAGGAAACCGTATAAACAACTCGTTATCCGCTTCTGATTTGGTCCGTTCCGAAATTTACGCCATGATCCTCGACCGATCACGACTATCAGTTCCGAGATTCACGCCGTGATCTTCGACCTGTTACTGATATCTCGCCATTCCGTTATTATGCTCCCCTCGAAGTCGGTCATACTTGATCTCGATTGTTGCTGGCCTCGGTCTCAACGTAAACTTCGATCTCTAGGCTTGATGTCTCATCTTCGAGCCCTGGTCCGATTTATTACGAGGCTACCCCCGATGCAACTCCCTTGTCTCGATCAAACAGCAAAATCGGGTAGGCCCGATTTTGACAGTATACAACAATGTAAGAAGAAAACATTACCACTATCATGTATCATACCACTTAAAAATAATTAAAGTTAACAAAAAATTATACGCCTTAATTTATAAAATGTTGGAGTATTAATAACTTGCTATAGTTCTTTTGTTTTTCATTTGGACATAAATGTTTATAATACATTTACTGATCCAAATACGCCTGAACACATAAAGTATTATGAACCGATTACATAGTTTATTAGTACTGTAAAGTGAATAAATGGGAAAAACTATTTATCATAAATTGGAAAGAAAAACTTCATTCCTTTCTAAATAGGTGATGAATCCAGAAATATTTAAATATATATTCTATAATTCAAAGAGAAGTACCGATTAACTGATCGAAGGTCTAATGGACTGTCATAATTTTAACGAATTTGAACACGTGGTAATGCATGTATTTCGAATTATGAACTAACTTAAGTAAATATCGTGTTAGATATGCGTAAACTTGGGGAATTACCGACATCTTTAGCAGATGTAAAGTACTCTGGCTCTTAGTCAAAGGAGAACTTCCTCTAACAACCAAGGCACCACTTCATATAAGAAGTTCTAAATCTAGATTTAAACAAAGACTTACTCTACAATCCTGATGCTTCTTTTGTCAGTACGACTAATTATGTATTCGATCATTATTTTCTCCCTCCAAAATTTTTTCACAGAAGACCTTTAATTTGAAAATATAAGTTTATTCCTATCATACATACAACTACGATGTAACATTCTTTATACTAAATTCTTACGATCTTAAGTTCAAATAACCTCATTATCTCAATCTAATTCCTCCCATAAGCGAAACGGACTCCATCAAAAAATTCTGATATATGCAATTAAACTTCGTTAATCTTATTCATTGATTCTTACGCTTGTTAGGAACCAATTTGTGAATTCAAAACTAGTCCATATATTCTAACAGATTACAAAGTGAAAAAAAGCAATGGGATAAGAAGACGTTTAGTTTGTCTTCGGGTAGTATTGACAATGTATTGGACCGAGCGGGCATGGAACTTTTGTTGATGGTGCCATTTCATTCGCCAGAGTAGAATTGATTGAATAGCTACTAAGAACCTTCCTAGTTGCTGTTTGCTACGAAGAAAAGAGGAAAATTAGAGTGTCTTACCACGTTCTCTCTGTTTGTCTTAAGTGTCTTCTTATAATTAGTCTTTCAAAAAGAATATGTACCTTTTAAACTTAAAAAATAATTTAACTTAAATTTTACATTTACTCTTAATAACAACTAACAAGTACTTTTAGACACATAGATATAATATCACGTTTAAGATTACATATTTTAAAAATCTTACAGCCATACTAATATTATAACATAATTGCGATAAATATTTTCAAAAAAATTCTTTGTTTCTTTTGTGTACGGTCAAACTACACAATATATTTATTAAAATGGAGGGAGTAATAAAGTTCAATTGTGACACCTTTCTCTTCTCCAAAGTGAAAATATAAAAAGAAAAGAATTTTGTATCTCAAGCAATTTTTTTTAGTCAAAACAACACTCTTATACTATGTGCAGTAACAGTCGTACCTAACTTTTTGCAGAACGGGACAAACGTGGACCTTACAGCTTCGCGGGAGTCTATATATATGAAGGTTGGGGATGCGCTCTAACTAACAGTTTTTCTTTTCTCTGTTTTCAAGCATTGTGACTGAACAAAATTCAACCAAGTTCAGTCGCTCTCACTTTCACCTTTCACTTTATCGCCGCTTAATTCATGTTACTAAACTTCAACGGATTAACAAAAGGAAAAATGGAATTCGATCTCGAGAATCCATTGACGGGCTTCGAAGAACACCATTTCAACGCCGTTTCAGCTCTCTTCGCTTCCGAATCCGATCACATGCCGTCCTTTCTCGCCTTCAAATCCACTGATGTTCGCTTTTGCCTTCGCCGCCATTCTCTCTCCCTTATTTCTCAAGTAAACACTCTTCATAATTCCAATTTTTTCTGCAAAAATTTGTAATGCTTTCATATTAATCTGTTTTGCACGTGTTAAATCGATATATAAATTCTCTCAAATTAAAATTAAATATTCGAAAATTATACTATCAGAAGTTATAATTTGCAGTACTCGTTGTATGAAATTGTTAATTCTCGTCACTTGGTTTAACTCTTAATAGCGATAATAATCGTGAAAATTATAAAGTAGCTACAATAATAGATTGTTTAAGTAGTTAATTTCACGTGTTTTTGGTTGTGCTTTTTGCAGACACAAAGCGCTTACAAATTTGATCGGTATATGGCATACCTCGCTGTCAATTACATCGACCGTTTTCTTTCCGAACAAGTAGTTACGGTAAATGAAATTCATAAGCTTTATATTCAGAGCTATTTACACATTAAATTGAATGAAATAGTTAAGGATCTGATGAGAATTGTGTGAAACTTACTTCTACAGGAGAATAGGCCATGGATTGTACGGATTCTCGTCATTGCTAGCCTTTCACTTGCAGCGAAAATGACGAACTTCAATTTATCACTCTCCGATATTCAGGTAAACTGCGAGTCAATACTGAACAGCGCAATTTCAACTTTGTTTCTCATCATTGCAAAAAAGTTCAATTCAATACGAGTTAATGAGAAAATTGTATAACAGAGAGATGTCGGGGTAATTTTTGACGCTCAATCAATTCCGCGTATGGAATCGCTGATTCTCACTACTCTAGAATGGCGACTAAGATCCATCACGCCTTTCTCGTTTCTGCATTTCTGCATGTCGCTTTTTCAACTCGGCGACTCGTCTCTGACTCAGCCTCTTAAACGGCGAGCTTCAGATATCATTTTCAGTACTCAATACGGTATTGTTAATTCTCTGGTAATTTCATAATTATGTTATTAGTTAGGTAATAAGCAACTACTATCTTAACCTTTGATTAATGCCGCCATATTTACAAATTTTATTGCAGAAACTAAGCTTTTTGAGTATAAACCATCAATAATAGCAGCATCGGCGCTTCTATGTGCAGCTGATGAGTTGATTCCATTGCGATTTTCCTCTTTCTTAGCTGCAACTTCAGAATGTCAATACTTAACTAAAGTAAGTCCTCTTTAAATAGTAATTAATCTGTTTCCTTGTTCCGATTATTGGATTGCAGAGTCAACTTATTCTTTTTTAAACTGGCCTTTGTTTAATATTCTAAATACTATATAGTTTTTGGTGTAGTTTCTAAATAAATAAATGATATTCCAAATAATTAAAGACTAAAAAGTACAATATGTTTTGAATATGTTGTTTTTCTTGTATAATACTGTATGATGTTTTCTCGATTTTTATTAGTAGTACTCCACTTTTTTCTTTATTTACATGTTTCTAACTGCGGAATCATACTCTTTGTTAGGAGGAACTTATGAATGCTTTGGCTGTAATACGGGAAATGCTGATAGAAGGGCGTGAGTCCACTGTCGATACGTTGACGCCAAAAAGTGTTCTTGAGTGTGAATGTACAACATCTGAATGCGAGAAACCCACGAATCTAGATGGGGACAGCATGAAAAGGCGTAAATTGAATGACTTTAGGGATGAGACGTTCCGGATTTCTCATATTCAGCGCTGCTAAACTTGTTTTTTTATTTTCTTTAATTTTGTTGTGATTGTAAGAAGTTAGGATGGTCTCGCATGTAACAATTTTGTTCGAACGGGAACAGACACGTGAATAGTGAGAAGTGGAAGGACCTTTGAATAAATTGAACTATTAATTGCAGCTGCAGGGGAGAATCGTAACCACACTGCTGTAGACTGCAATATCCCCATAGATTCCTCTTTGTGCTTCGAAATGGCAATTGTATGTTGCTGCAAAAAAGTAAAAAGCAATTTATGTTCTATTCAGTTAAAATGCAATAAAGCTGTTCAGAAAAAAAATTCATACGAGTGCATGTCGAAACAAGCTAGAAAACAAATGCTTCATTTTGTTCTTTAATGGGTTTATCTCCCATCCCCGATTCTTTTCTTCATCGCGATTCACTAACATAAAAGGATAGATTATTTTTATCGTGTTGCTATGAAAATCTTCCCATCATACTTTTATGTCAGAAAATTGCGGAAGAATCTTTGTTTCCTTGGATAGTTGGATGGTGGCGTGGGAGAGGGTTGGAGGTTGAAGAAACAAATGGGATTATGGAGCTGAATATATACATAAATTTCTAGTTTTATGTGCAGTCAATGCCGGGAGAGTAGCGAATCCAAAAAGAGAGAAATGATTTAAAAAGATAGGAAAAAAAGCAAGAAGGGGAGAAGTGGCGCGAAGAAAAAACAAATACTCCTACTCTGTATATCGCTTTATCAGTTCCCAGCGAAAATAACTAGTAAAATAAAAAGTTCCCAGTGGGGCAAAGAGAGATGAAAACAAGGATTGAGTGGGGCTAAGACAGATGAAACGTTGAAGGAACGTTATCACTTGAATTTTAGCAAGGTGTTTGGATCTTGGTCGAAGAGACATGTCTCTTACATGTCATTAACATCATTGAAAGCTACAGGAATACAAACTCATCGTATATTTTTTTATTTTCTTGGAGGATGGACTAAATTGGTTTTCCAAAGCCTTTTACCTTTTCTTCCGCATGAGAGAAATTTGTTTACTTATCAACTCAAATGTTATCACTTCATTGTACTTAATTAACGCACATTCTCACTCTAATATATTATTTAATCAAGAAAAGGGGTTGGCGTAAATAGGTGTGGGTAAATTTTGTGTAGAGGGAGATTGTTTAACCAAAGAATTTGATTCTCGGTCAAAGCCTATTTTTAGAAGTACTCGGGTTACTGATAATCAAGAAATTCAATATTCTTCCGTGGTGAATGCAGTGACGTGGTCACGTGAATCGGTCGTTCCATCGTGTTTTGGGATGTTAGGCATTTTGAATTTTTGGGGAATTGGTAATGGAGTTGTGCTTGGTTTCCATGGTTGTTATGAATATTTGTCGAAATCAACTCCTTTGATCACAGGTGGTACGCCGGGTATTTTCTTAATACGGTCATTTTGTTCTTTCACCTGTTTCTGCAAGGTTAGTATTAAAGTTTGTAAATCAGAATTATTAGGCATACCTGGTCTCCCATCACGTGACTCGTTGGGAGTTCCTCCGCTTCCAGAATTAACCAACCCTGACCGTGAAATTTTCACAGTTGCAGTATTATTTGATGGAGGTGTGGGTGGCACAGCTGGTAGTCCCCTCACGAAAGCCTGGAGAGCATCATTCACATACTCAACAATTAACTGTTTCATAGCATCCTGCTCGACAGTTTGTTCATTGTTATGAGTAGTGGATCTTTCTGGTGATGCTTCTCTTGAATTGCGTGGGGTTCCCTGAGGTGATGGAACTGGAGTTCCTTCCACATGTTGGTTGTTGTCATTGACATTCGACATGATTCAGTTGAGAGAGAGTGATTTGGAAAGTAAGAGAAGATTATGAGATTTCCGGTAATGGAACCAATTTGTTTAACCAAAGAATTTGATTCTCAGTCAAAGCCTATTTTTAGAAGTACTCGGGTTACTGATAATCAAGAAATTCAATATTCTCTCGGAAATAAGAAAGGAAATTAGAATAAGAAATGACAAAATAATCAATTGAAAGCACAAGAAAGTAGTTATATTCCAATAATAATCAGAACCTCCCTTTACAAGTGAAATTCCCTTCCCTTATATAGGAATTTGCAAATATAACGTTTCTTCTCTTTTATGACCGAATCATTATGAGCATTAATGACATTAATGAAACGTTATAATTGGCAACCGTAACTGTTTATGAAGATTCTGTAACGGTTTCGATTCTTCTTCCACATTAATTAGAGGTTCATGAATCTTCCCTCTTTACTGTCTTGATCCATCCTGCCTGTTTCTCTTCACTGAGTAATTTAGGCTCGAGCAACCGTACCCTTTCGTCTCGTGAGTGATTTGCTCGTACCTGTTGTAAATTGTGAATCTTTTAATGCGACACTCCAGGTGTCNATGCGACACTCCAGTTGTCATCTTCTTAGTGATCCACGTATCTTGCCCTGTCATCCTCATATAATTTCACGTGTAATATTTATTTTTTTACTAATACAGAGATGTAACAACCATTAATTTTATATAGTTGAGCACTATAGGCATTTCTCCCTGGGCTGAACAAGTCCACGTAAGAGCAAAATGTGGTGCACTGGCCGATGTATCGCCAACAACAGTCATTTCTTCAACGTTAATTGGTTTGACTTTGATGTTTTTGAAGTTCTAAGGCAAAGGAAATTGCAGAGGGTAGCGTTTCTGTTAAAGAGAAACAAATAAAGTTCTTTTTCACGTTGCATCTGCAACTATTGAAGAATCATACTAGACTAGTAGTTCTTTTTGTACCGTGACTAAGATCCTAGAGAACGTAAGTAAAATTCTAGACATACTTCTTCAGAAGCATATTTTCCGTCACGTGCCCAAAATCTGTGTAGATTCTAGAAGATCTTATTGAATTTAGTATGCATAATTAGTCAGTACATATTAAGACTTGAAGAGGTAAACTTGGAATCTTTTTATTCAGAAAGGAAGAGAAGAGGCAAAGACTGACTGATATTGGAGGCAAATATTTGTGCGTTGCTTTACTTCTGCTCCAGACTCCAGTCACCACCAATGGATTCATTTTTCTCTACCTGTTTCTGCTTGGATTTAAGCTAAATTCCAAAAATACTTGGAAATTACGGACCTTTCAAACGTCACCTCTCTCTTCTTCTTTTCCATGGTTAATTTCCCTTCTTCTTGATCACTGTCATTTGCAATCACCTCTCAGATACACTACAAATACGAAGTTTACATAAATATGCATATCACAGCAACACATCGTTGCCTTGTCACAAAGGTTACAGTATCATTCTCACACTGAAGAGGCTGCAGGGCATTTTATTTTCTGAAACTGAATATAAATATCTGCATATCTACTCTTTCAGCGTGGCTGTCCCTTTATTATTCTTGACTTACAACAGGACTAAGGTTCTTCTGTACTGATTATTTTGCACCACTCGGACTCTCAGAGATCTGAAAGAAGTCATTATACGGTAGATGCAGTTAAGGGCTCTCGGACATCATCTTTGTCACGACCCAAACTGGAGGGCCTTACTGACACCCGGGCCATACCTGTTGAGTACCAACATACATTTTATCTAACCTTTCTTATTATCTATAAGGGCCGACGAGATCAACATAAATGGTAGACATGAATCGTGAACAACCAATAATGACAGATAATGGCATGAACATACATAACATGAGCCGACATACCCATAATGTCAGATAATGCCATGAGAGACTATATAACAAAAAATCACCCGACAAGGCAGTCCAAACTATACATGAGTCGACACCTGTCTATGAGTCTCTAAAGGAACATAAGTGCTACAACATTGTCGGAACAGGCCCCAACATACTCATAGCGTCTATAACAAAAGTGCATACCGAGACCACGACAAGTCCAGAGAAGGGATCTCGCCAATAACCGCTGAACTGGGCAGCCTACTGTGGTAGGGGAGCTGCGTCTACTTGTCTATCAGAACCTGCAGCACGACATGCAGCGTCCACAAATNATACTTTTAAAAACATACGCCGATGTGGGCATCATCATTATCATATCGTAACTGGCCGTAATAGGCTTGGTAAAAAGGTACCCGGCCATCATGAGGCTTCGTAGAATCGTACCCGGCCACGTGGAGCTCGATAAAATCCAACTGATCAGTGGTTGCACAATAGGTATTGTACCCGGCCAACTATAGCGCGGTTCGGTAGAGTAAAAATAGGTACCTATATATAATGCATGCTAGACTCATTGGAATCACATTATGAACCTTTCGGAGTGACGTAAGGTCGATAACCTCTGTACACATTTGGTAATAACTGTGAAATTACCATTAACAACCAACTTTTCAATACAACTAGAGAGCACTTAGGAATAAAATCACCTTCTAGCAATGGTGCTATATCTCGCTAAGCCTCAGACAATCAAATCCTAATTACAAATTCTTATAATCAATCCCTGAAAATTATTAGCTCTTCTACTATGTTGTATATCTTCTACTCTAATTCTTGTTTCCTTTTGTATCTGTGTTATTACATGATTTGTATGTATATCAGTGTTCCCAGAGATCTTCCAATTTCGCATTTGCCAGATCTGATAAATCATGGCTCCCCATATTGCAGCAACTATCTCTTTCTTCTTCTGCTTCCAATGCCTGCTTTTAATCCACTAGATACTTTATTGAATATTCATCTAAGGCAACTTGATCCCTATCCAATTTGACAGTCCTTCTCTTACTGCTCTAGCCCATGTACACTCTGCAAATAGGTGCTTCTGAGTCTCCAATCTCCCTTGATCACATAGTTTACATGTTTGATCCTCCACTGGGATATGCAATCGAGTCATTCTTTCTTTGGTTAGTAACCTATCTTGGTTAGCTAACCAAACACAAAATCTGTGCTTAGGTTGCATCACTCTGTTCCATACCAAATTTGCCTCCTGCAATCTTACCTGTGGTCCTAGTAGTGCATTGTAGCTCTTTGTTAATGAGTATTCTCCATTCTCTATCAGCGCATAATTCTCATTATTGTACCATTGTGTCATCACCTCTTTTAATAAATTTAATTTCCTCCAATACCAGCTACTATCAGTAGGAGGGTTGTGATTCCAAATGTCTCTCTCCTGCTTCATGTATATCCCATGCACCCAATTTATCCACACTACATCTTTCTTTCTTGCCAATTGCCAGAGTAGTTTCCCTACAACAACTATATTCCAGTTCCTGCACCCTTTGATGTTCAGCCCACCATACTTCTTATGTATACACACTCTGTCCTAAGATACTAATGTAAGTTTTCTATGATCTTCAGTACTACCCCAAAGATAATCCCTACATATT